AGATCATGCGAAATATATAGAAAATGTTTACCTTTACTTGAGTAACGTATCAGTAACCGATAATTTTTTTTATGAAATATACAATTTGTAAACAATGAATATGAAATATTAATATGAAAGTGGGCGGTGTCAAAACTCATATTTATTTTATGAGGCTATTTTAAAATCCTCTTTTATACAGTTTTCGGTTTGCTTTGATATTGATATGTAGCTTCTTTAAAAAAGGTTTGGAACAATTCATGTTAAACAGTAAAACGACCACGTTTTAGAGATATCTGCTCTTTTTGCTATTGTAGCTTATTTCAAGTGTAGACATATGTAACGTTATAAGCCATATTTTAAAGCTCGTGAAAAACAAGCTGAAAAAAGTTTTGAAATCAGTTATGAATAAAGGTTTTCTTCAAGATTATAAACACATTGACATTGCAATTGATTGGGTCTCGTCATTCAAAACAAAAACTTCATAAATTCAGACATATTTTACCCATTTCACCAGGAACCATTTCGTCCGTCTCATCTTCGGTACTACTACTATCAACAGAGATTGATCCTTCTGAATCTTTAAAAATATAATGCAAACATATACAAGTAAAAATTGTACAAGATTTATAAAACATTAAAGAACCGATGGAATAAATACATGAAAAACATTAAAAGAGTATTACAGCTAGTCTTCAAAAAAAAACATGTTAAAGGCGTAAGCTAAGGTGGAATATGATAAAAGTTAGGTCATTTTTAGATGAAAATTAGCTTAGCTTCAAGTAAAGAAAAATATATCGTACTTATTACCAAACAATGAAATTTTGCACAATCACTCGGATGGAAGTCAGTTAATGTCATGCAGAGAAAGAGAAAGAGACGTTATGTTGATAGTTTTATCTATTTGCCATTAAAAAAGCACACTTTTTAAATTCAAGGACAAATTCCTTGAAAAGGAAGTCTATGATCTTCAATTGTTTATTTCCTTTTTTACTTTTATATATTGATAGTGTTTATATATAGCATGTTATAATTTACAAACACAGTTTGAAAAAACGAAGTTTTAGTGGTGTTTTATAATATAAAAAAATATTGTATGATAAATTTGTCTTCAGTCTGCAACATTCTTTGCTCATTTACTTTTTGTAACCGTCATTTTGTTTGTGGCGACGGACATTGTAAACTGTTTATGCCTTTTGAAATAAAACCTTGAAATCTTGAATCTTTCAATGCAAAGGTTTAGATTTATTTGTGCAGCTGGCATAGTCTTCATTCTTCGATATGTTATTATAGCATGAGACGTTGATTTAAATTTTGTTTAAATAAATAGTCTTAATCAAATCGCATACAACAAATGTGTTTTCAATTAACATGAAGTACAATTACATGTTTATTCTTCAGACATATTTTCTAATCTCATACATCAGGAATCAGTTTTATTGATACAGTGTCATTCAACTCCGCTTACATCTGTTCTGTAATTCTATTCAAACTATTTGTCGTTTTTTTCCATTTTAAAGCGGATTGTTCTGAACTTATTCCGTCCACAGATGAACACTTAAGTGGAATACCTAAATTTTCACTTGATGTTTTATAAGTTGTAGCTTTTAAGTATACATTATCTTACTTCAAGTCTAACAGTATATTTTTCTTAATATCTTACTTGCACGTGATGCATCTGATGCATCTGGTTGGTTTTTAAACATGTTTATCTATTAAGATGGTTTAGAAGTAATTAGTTTTGTAGCTGACGTGATACAGATGACATTTCACTTAAGATTTTAACCTCTGATGCTACATTAAAGAACATATTAAGTAATAACAATCTTAAATAGAGAATAGATCTTTTGTGCAATACGAATTCAGTTTTAGAAAGCTCTAAAGAGGAATTTTGACATGACGGGACTGGAAATAATGAAGATTATTACCCCTTTCATGTAAATAATTCCAAAAAAGGGAAATCAACTTCATGAAAACAGGAAAAACAAGGCAAAGCCTATCTTCCTTCTTTAAGTAAACACACTCAAGGCAGAAAATACGAAAATGAGATCGTCTCAGAGGTCTTTTCTTTATATTTTAAAATGCAAGAATATAGAAATTGTTTAACTTTACCTGAGAAACGTGTGAGTAACTGAGATTTTATCTATGAAATATAAAATGAGTAAATAATGCATATGAAATACTTTATATATGAAAGAAGGTGGTGTCAAAACTCATATTTATTTTATGAGGCCATTTTAAATACTCTTTTTAAACAGTTTCGTTCTGCCTTTATAGTGATATGTTGATATGAAACTCATTTAACATTTGGAAAGATTGGGAAAAATCATTTATGACAACAGATCACTTTTAAGCAAAATAAGTTTGAAGTCAACGACAACGTTTTCGAGGTGTCTGCCCTTTTTGTTATTTAAGCTCATTTGAAGGATAAATAACTGATACATATCGAACCTTATTTTTACTGATAATGGTTTTACACTTTAATCTGAGTCACAATACAAAACTTTATTGTAATTAATTACATTTTTGTGTGTCATTTATTCAATATTACGACTGGAAAAAAACTTTAAAAGTATGCAATTTATGAAACAAAAGTGGCATAGTTTTCATATCATAACAAAAAAGACTTTTGGATTTTGTAAAATTAACAAATTCAAGAGCAGATGACAAGAAAACAAGGGCGGTTACCCAGATTCTTTCCGATTATGTTACCGTATAACTAGTATAAGATCATGCCAACTTTAAATAAATAATCCCTTATTCTGTATTCTTAAACCATAATATACGTTTTAAGGCCTTTTAAACATATTTGTAAAGTATGTTTAATGTAGCAATTAATAACAAACTTTCGATATATATATATATATGTTTATGCATGTTTAAACTTTTTTTGTCCGGTAAGATCTTTTTATTGATATGCATTTTTTACTTTCTGTTTTAACATCATTAAAAAACACTATTCACGTCTTTTTTTATTCACGCATGTTTAGCATTTAACCAATGAGTTTGAATTCAATATAATTATGTTTATTTACAACAAATAAAAATAAATAAAAATACATTTCATAATTATGAGAGTAACGATTGGCGATTTTGAAGTTATTGCTAATGTGAAGAAAGTGTTTAATGTTACATGTATTCTAAACCGTGACATAAAGATAACCGATATATGGCACATTGAACTTTTCTTTTAAAATGAAATACGTGCTTTTTCCGTTCAAGTGATATGATACTTGGATATTTCTTCTTAAGGTCGTTTCCTCAAGCCTGATTTTCTTGAAGTATTTTGGCTCATGCAGCTATTAAACAGATGAGAATGAATATGTGTTCACAAAGCATGTTAACGGACACACTCTTAACTTAGTAAGTAAGCATTGTGACATACCTAATTTGCGTTCGTTCCTTTTCTCACCAGCTGTCACATCAATAATACGAGCCTGAAGTATATTTGATTTACGTATGAAATTCTTGAAACATTACACACCATTTCTTTTAAAATTGTTTTTTTTTATTGATTTAAGTAACTATGCAATTTCAACAATAACGTGCTATTATAAATGTCATAAATGATATTTTAGACGGTAGTGTAAAGATAAAAAAGAAACAATCGAAGCAGGTACATGTAGTAAGGAGCATTCTCAATAATTATCATTAACAAAATTGTACTAAAGAAATATTTAATTGCGGTAAAAATGTCTTCATATTCAAATCGCAAGCAGCATACAGTTTTAATACTTTGTAAAGATAAACATTTAAATTGAATTTTTTGTGGTGGTTACTTTAATGTAGCTCTTCCATTATAATATATATAGAATATTATAATATAGAATTTTAAATACTGCTTAAAATAAGTGATTACATGAAAACCATAATTTTTCAGTTTCATAATAAAGTAACCTGTCCAAGATTAATGGTCTGAAATGTTTCTGTAATTGTTTGAATGTTCCTTTCTGACTCTTCATTTACCGTTGCATATTCTTTCAGTTTTTCATCATACGACTGCTGCGCTGCAGACACCTCGATCATTTCGTCATCTGCATGTCTTCGTACAACTTCTGTGTCCGTTTCGTTTGCATGCATAAGTGTACATTTTTTGTAAAAATTAAAATTCACCTGTTCCTCTTGATTTCCGTTATAGTTTTCATTATCTAAATACGAAATATTTCATTTTAAACGGTAAATAGCTTTTGCTTTACAACAACATTCATTTTGAGATGTTATTTTTTTAAATTTGACATTGAACTATTATTTATATTAATTAATTTAATCATCTCCAAATAACTTTTATGGCATAGTGTAATTGTTCGATATGCATAATGCTGATTTTTTAAGAGATCATTTTGTAGTGTATCTAATCTAAAAACAAGACGAATGGAAACAATCTGAACTTGTGCTATAGACTGTCATCAAGATATTTTCCCCTCAATTACACTCGATTTAAAGGCACGTGGTAAGTTAGAGGTTTTCTTCAAGATACAAACACATTGCCATGAATTAATAAATTGGGTGTACGTCATTTAAAAGAAGAATTTATTGTTGTTAATATACTTGTATTTAGACATATTTTACCAATTTTACCATGAACCATTTCTTCCGTTTCATCTTCAAGAGAGCTTGATCCTTCTGAATCTTTAAAATATATGCAAAATATACGAAAAAAGAAAAACCCAATTTTTTTACATATTCAAAAACAGATCCTATAAACACATGTACAGACATTTTACAAATAAAATTCCACAAAAATACACTTTGAAGGTAGAATATTATAAAATTTCTGCCATTTTTAGAGGAAAATTAGCTTAGCTGCAAGTAAAGAAAAAACGTACTCAAATGTTTATGCCTTTGAAACAAATCGTGAAATCTTGCAAACTTAAAATAAATTATTTTATGTAGTAAGCCTAGTGTTCATTCTCTTATATGTTTATATGAATTATCTAGAATGCGACTTTAATGTAAAAAATAAATAATTTCTATTAAATCGCGTACAACAAAATGTATTTTTAATTTACAGTACCTGTTTCTTAAAACACATTTCGAAATTCCATCATTTCAGGGATCAGTTTTATTGATACAGTGTCTTTGAACTCCGCTGACATCTGTTCTGCAATTTTATTCAGACTATTTGTCGTTTTTTCCTGTTTTATCGCGGATAGTACTGAATTTATTCCGTCCACAGATGAACACTTCAATGGAATACTAATGTGTTCACTTGATGCTTCATGAGTTGTAGCTGTAAAAGTATTTATAATGTACTAAAATACAAGCTAACAAAAGATAAAAAAATCATATTATTTTAGTGTTTCATATATGGAAGTGCCGGATTATTTTCACGTTGGTTCCCATCTTAGCTGTGTACTACGTATTACATGCAGCGTCTGAAAATTACATCCTGCTTGATCTTCGGTTTCACGAGGTATCAATTTTCCATCGTTGCTCGTAGCAAAATACAAATACAACATAATATTCCGTATTAATTAACTAAATTCAAGTCAAACAGAATCATTTCTATTAATATTTTACTAACACGTAATATTTTAGATTTTTTTTTAATCTGTTCCACTGTTAGTTTAATTTTATGGTAAGCAGTTTCGTAGGAAACGTGATATAAATGTTATTTCACGTTATATAGGATTTAAACTTCCGATGTTAAATAAGTAATAAAAGGTATTAAATAGAAAATAGATATAAACTAGTTTTAAGAGGCTCAAATGAAGTTTCTTGACATGACAGGGTGGAAAAACTTTTTTAAGGTAAGTGATTCTTTTCATGCAGATCTAAATCAATTATTTGTGATCAAAATTTCAAATAATTTACTCACTCTGTGTTTCCAGAAAAAAGAAATGGAAATCAAAGTGCCATAAATTGAAAAACGTTGCAATGCGTTTCACTCAAGTGGGGCTAAGAATAGCTTACAAATACTATTTTCAATTTATTTCTGAGTATATTCTTATTTATCTTTTGCATATCTTCCTGGTTTTAAGTGCCCTCATCGGTCTATGAAATAATTCAAATCATAATTATTAAGCCATGGAAGTCTAAAACAATTTATGTAAATATGGGTTTCATACCCGTACATACATTTATGTAACATTCTTGAAACCCCCGACACACTTTCGAGTGTGCACTTTCCTTGTATGAGGAAAGCGTATCCATATATGTAATGGAGCTCATTGGTTATGTTTCGGAATGTGCTTCTAAACTGGTCGCCGTGCGTGATATCTAAAATGTGCATTAAGCCACCAGGAGTGGAAAATTTGAATGACCAAATAATACACTTCCGTTTTACTTCAAGTGGTGTCACGTCTGGATGTGCGGCAATGATTGCTACTACTTTGTCCGTTTCTTTCCTTATAGAACCTGACGGTTGATCTAATTTTTGTATGGAAGCTTGCAGGTTGATTTCGAGTAAGTCTTCTGCTTTTTTCTTTATTTCTTCATTTTCACATATTGTCAGCAGTTTAAACTCGAAAACTGAAATGGAGCAGAAGAAAGACTGAACTGCGATACAACATAAAGAGCAAAAGAAAATAAATGAAATATATTAATGTATGTTCAAATCACTATTATTGAAATTGTATTATGTATAAAATTTGCAGACATTGTTAAATACAGATCAAATGACATACCATTTTATCTTTTTCATACTCACGATGTTCTTGTTTGAACTTGATATCTTTTTGGCTCAACTGGTTCAGCATGACTCTCAATTCTTTAATTGTTTCTACAAAAAAGGATTGTAATTACATACTTTAATGTTCTGTTCACAAAACTTATCACACATTATCAAAATGCATGTTTTAGGAAAAATAAATACAAACTTTTTAATATTAGTTTTACACACTTAATAAACTATGTTGGTCAACTAGCAATACATGCATTCTTATAAAAAGTATTACCGTTGTAGACATCGTTCAAAGTTTTCAATTCAATACCAGATTCTCTAAGCTGTTTTAAATACTCTTCAGCATCACATCCTTCTTCGTCTTTTTTTCTTATAACGTTCAATAAGATTTTCAACTTGTTGTCTGTCGTCCTCGGCAATGTTGATTGAAAGATGATTTAGACAATTGATAAGATCAATCCAGTTTGTCAGAAAGTCAACAGTATCTAGAGACTGCAGCGCAAGTGTAGCATAATTTACCCTTGCACTTCTTATACTCTTGATATACAAGATCTCCTTCTGACTAAGGTTATCATCACACGTGAGCAGTAAAACAGATGCCAGAAGAAAAATATCCCACATTTTATAATCTGAACAAGACTCTTGTGGGTAGAGGCAACTGGAAAATTTCTCATCAATATTTCTGGTCAACGTTTCCTTTTTTCTTTCAAGGAAATCAGATAGGTCTTGGCCGCCCAGCTTTTTCGTCAGTATCCCGCATAAAACAATACGCCCTCCATCGAACAAAAGTTTTATGTACCGTACAAAATTCTCGGGTGTTTCTTTGAAATACATCTGAAATTCTACAATAGAATGTCAATCAATTTTAAATATCATTGAGAGAGAGAGAAAGAGGGAGGGGGAGAGATTGAGAGAGGGGGAAGAGAAGGATATTAGGAAAGCCTTTAATATTGCATACAACACAAAATACATTTGTGATATGGTAGATTGCAATATTATATTTCATTTAAATAATATAATAAACGCAACAGGACAATAAATACTAACCTTGTGATCTTCTACTCAATTCTTCAACCTGAAATAAAAAGTACTTAGTCATAAATTTCAATGCAAATAACTACATTCATCGAATTGGAGTCGTGTAAAGGGTTTACTTAAATTGTCATTTAACAAATTTGACTTGTGTAACGGATACTAGAAGTCCTATCAGATATTATAGTAACAATTATAAAAAATTGTCTACAGGTTTAAGTTTATAAAGTTGTCCACGTGTAATTTTTTCGCAATATTGAACTTACATTTAATTGTTTTTCATACTGAAATATTTGGGTAAAATATATGTAACTGCTGAAATAAAACGTAATTTGAAATCAAAAACCTTTTCTTCAAGGTGAACAAATTCGTTTTTGTAGTTAAGCAACTCATCCAGTAACCTTGTAACTTCAGAATTCTCTGTATCTACATGGAGTCTTTTGTATTCATTTATTCTTTGTTCAAAGTTTACACTAGACCTCGGGTCAACAAGTTCAACAACTCTCAACAAGATAGCTCTGATTTTCGCCCAACCCAAGTCTTTTCATACTCTGCCTCTGACATTTTGGCATCCGCTCGATGACCTATAATCTTATTTCTGACATCTCTCAATCGAAGAAGATCAGCACCAAGACTTTCGTCTTTCGGGTGTTGTTTAGTTTCCCAACCGCGCTCTGGTTTTGGTATATTGTCTTTACACAAATTTAGTATCAGTCTCATCAAAAGAGAAATATCGAATCTCTCTAGATTTAAAAGTTGACTAGAAACAAGATTATAGTCAGACTGGTTTATGACATCTTTTTTCAACAGTTCCCTCAATATATTTTGCTGCTCTAGAGATGAGAGAAAGCCTGTGATGTCTTCACTTTTTATTAGAAATTTGAACACTTAAAATAACACCTCTCTTGTCAGGTCTGTGTACATAAGACTAGTTCTAATGTAATACGTTCTCTCTTCGGATATTTCACACATGATGAATTAGAATTCATTAACTTGTTCTGAAATAGAAATAATTGTTTGATATACATTCTTAATCACCAAAGGTTCTGACAAAAAGTTTAAATACGACATGATTATCTAATTACTTTTTGTCAACTTAAGAAAATAAGTCTTTAGAGTATATCAAACTATATATCTCATGATTTAAAGGTTGATCTTATGTTAGTCGACACATCTTCCTGTTTGAAAATTCAAAGGCCTGTAACCATCACGTATCATGAAAATTAATATTTCCATATTTGTCCTGAATGTTTAATAAAGAATGTATGCAACACTGATAGACTATCAAAATTTTTTGTGTATTGACTCAATAATAAATTGAATTTGACGAATAATGTGAGTATTTAGCATAATACTAATTAAGTTGCAAGTATTATAACCCAGGTAATGTATAATTGCTTTTTTTTAAACAAAAATTTTGTAATAAAACTAAATAAAACAGGAACTCTTTGGAACGTTACCACTTATCTATAGTGCATTTCCTGATCTCGTAATTCTTCTTTAAAACATTTTTGACATATTTCAAATCGACCGATATTCAACCTATCGGAGCTTGTCATATTTAAAGGAAATGGGCAAAATATACAAGACCGAAAACAGTGATAAATATGGACGTTTGTCAGGGTCATTAAAAATTGTTTGCTTCTACGAAAAAATAAAAAAGTACGCTTTTATAAAAAAACACACTAATTCCGCCCCTCATCACCAAAACAACGTTCCGTAGAATGTCATAGAGCAACTATTTTACATGATGAAAAAAGTCAAAATTAACCACTGAAACTGATGCTGTCCAGAAGCATTGGTTGACATTAACGATGTCGCTCTCTTGACTCTGCTGTTAAGACATTATGGATGAATTCATGGGCACAAGATGTTTAAGATATTTTGGTAAAATAAATTCATTTTTAAACATTTTTTGCTGTTTTCAATAAAGTCATGAATATGTTTTACTTCAAACAAATTTGAGTTTGAAAATTTAACATCTTACGAATTAGACATTGAAAACAATTGCTTTAATTTGTCATACTAAACATTTGAAACTTCCTGTTTTATAAGGAAGGAGAATACAATAATTTCAATGTCAGTTAACTAGCATATAATTATCAATAAAACATATTAAAAATGACTAAATGTTCCTTTAATCGTTAGTATTGATATTTTTCCAATGAAGAATATAGATAACCTATCTTAATTATTTAATTAAAACTGTTTAAAACATCGAGTTTACCATTCTATAACTCTTTTGAAGTAGTTTCTATAAAAAGAATTTTTTTAAATTTAATTTAAATTTATTCTTCAACTATAACGACTATACGACATAACACCGATAGACGTATTTGTGAAAAGAGAGCAAACTAAAGAACTGATTACCTATACGTAAATATTAAAAACTTTATTCCTACTATTGATTATTCTGCTCTTTCGATCCTTGATCGTAATATAAAATGAAATTGAATTCAATAAAACATTTGTGTTCATTTTATTTAGTTTGAATAGGGACAATATAAATTCTTAAAAAATAGACAATTTCAAAAGAAAATTGGCACGGCTTAAATCTAAGAAGAAAAAAGAACAAGTTCTTGAAATTGTGCATCATTGCTCAAATCGAAGTCAACTACATGAAATGCAGAGAAAATATAAATGGCTTATTGTGAATATTCTGCCCTTGAAATAAGCAAAATGTTAAAATTTAAGGCAGTTATCTCAAGAACGAGGTCGATTACGCCATTTACTTTCTCTCAGACTGTATTTCTTACCATATTCTAAGAGCATGCAAAGTTCAAATAAATTCCATAATGTAATTTTCATTTGACTATACGTCTTCATGTTTTATGTTCTGAAACTTCCCGACTGTTGCAAGCGATATATATTTGTAATGAACTTTATAGGCAAAATGGTCTAACAAACACTACATATTTGCACAAATCGTTCATTCAACTTTATTTATAAGTGCATAACAGAAAAATATTTTACAAAATAGAGATAGACTTTAAAAATATTTTAATTGAAAATCTTTATCTGTTTATTCTATTACATGTGTTGAGCTGTTAATTTTATCACAGTTATATGTTTACATAATAACAAATATTAAGGTTACTTTTCCTATTTTTGGTTATTTTATGTTGTACTCTGTTGTATCTAAAGATTAACATTTTTATGTTAAAGAACTTTTGTTTAAGTACTAAAATGCAGAAGTATGTAAACACTCAATTAGCCAGGCCGCTGACATATTTTTTGCAATTTACGCGTGTGACATATTTATCTTCATTCACGTCACATACGAGACGTCACATTCGTATATGACAACATAGTGGTTATCATCAATTTTATCCAAGATATTTATTTTAAGTTTTCCTATCTGATTATCTGTTTGACTTAAAGAAAGAAATTAACAGGCTGCTGGCTTTTGGCATCTAGCGTGATCATCGGTCTTGATCGAACCATTTTGATCGGTCAAATCGATAATTTCTTATATCATAGAAAAACGTTTTTATTGGTTAATTGTTCGATTGTACAACAAATTTTGGGGTCGTTAGATAAGGGTCCTCTCCTCGGAGAGTCAGATTGTTACATGTTATACTCTTGAAGTGTAAACTTGTACTTAAATGAAATATAAGAGGATTGAAACGGACATTTCTTATTTCTATTTTTAGGTAAGTTTATATCATTTTATTACATGCTTTTCGGTGGTTTATAGAAATATATCAGTGAAATAAAAACTGGTAATTTCACTGTTTTAAACAGTGAAATTCCCAATTTGATAATTTCACTGTTTTGAATTTAAGCCCGTTACGTTGTTTTAGTGAAATAACAGCGTGCACAGTACTGGAAACCAGCTTAATGACGTGACGTCATAAATGACGTCACGTTGTATTAGTATTTGGCGCGCTTTTCATTTAGTACTAGGTTAAAAAGTCTTTTTAAACGTTTCTTTGCATGTAATAAAAAGAAAATTTGTTTAGTTTAGTGTAAGATTGAAATATATTTCGCCTCGTGAACACCAAAAGTTCATATTTCACTCGTGGCTGCGCCACTCGTGAAATATACCTTTTGGTGCTCACTCGGTGAAAT